CCCACAACAAACCCCCTAAAAAGGTACTCCTATCTCTTTAAACCGTATAGTGTTACCATGGAATTACTTAATCGTAGATAGTGAGATATGATGACGGTGGTAATAGAAATTTAAAATGGCAACAACTTTTAGAGTAATTTTTATCGATCTGGGAAATATAGAGGATTATGCTTCTTTCTTAATTCAGCTACAAGATAAATAATTTCACGCTTAGACTATGGGATTCGGAGATACTGTTTTGTGCATCAATTGATACACATACCCACATTAAAGCTTTTTTTTAAAAAAAAAAAATCTCATATCTTCGAGTTAATTACATGACCACACTTGAACTGCTAGTTTCGAAATAAGATACGAAAAGACAGGTCCTCCTTAAAAGGGCCAAGTAAAAAATAAAAATAGATTACTTTAATTTTTAGCGGGCTACAGCCTACATGGTACATAAAGCTGATAAAACTTAAACTTACCACCAAATGGTACATGATTCTACAGAAAGATAAATATTTATAATAACTCTAATTTATTTCCCTTTTAACAACGAATTTATGCAAACAATTATATATTAAAACCAAAAACAGCAAGCAAACTGCCCAATAATTAATTTTTACGAGTAACTAGCAGTAGATTTAGTCAAACAAAGACTGTGTAATGTGATTGTGAACTTTCCCCGGTTGGTGCCACCTTAACTAATTTCTGAGCCACATAAGTATCATATTTTACTTGATCAGGATGACTGATTTCAAATTGATATTCCCCATGAAAAAGTGAAGCTTCAAAAAAACCATTTTCATCAGTATTCCCCGAAAAATCGTGGTGATTCCATTCCTTTATAATATTGTCTACAACATCTCCAGTAGGCAAATTCTTGAAATTGTTATCAGTCAAACACATCCTGTAACATCCTTTAGGATTCCATGGTGCCCACATCATTATCCCTTTCACTCCTGGATGTGCATGTATCTCCCTTATTATCTCCTCCAAATATACCTCCTGTCCAAATTGAAGTTCACCAACTCACGAATTAGAGGTTAATTTCACATAGGATTACTCAACTTTATTCACTATGACAATAAATTTACAAAATTGCTACCAGGAACATTAAAATAACTAAAATTTTACCCATATGAAAGTAAATTTCAGAAAAACTAATTTTTGTTACGTTAAAGTAACTCATATATGCATTGCTCAGAAAATACAAAGGTCAAGTTTTCGGCACGTTACTTGTCATGTCATGCTGTATTTTTCACGTAGAATAAAAAAATTCTACCCTGTAAATTTTTGACTACCAATATTTTAAATAAAAGACAATTAAAAAACATTTAGATGAAACCAAAAGAAAAAAACAATTACGCTATAGATGTCGTAAATCCAAACCCTTTTATACTATAATTGTACTTTTTTTTTCCCTTTCAAATTCAATAATTAAGGAAGATTACCTGGTTGGTGGTGTTTGCAACATCCAGCTCTGTGATCCAAATAGGCAATCCAGTTGAAGCAAGGATATCAAGAGAAGATCTAATATAAGGCAAATTTGGAGTGACAAAATGTCCCTGGAGTCCAATTCCTAAAGGACCATTGTAACCATGGGATCGAAGCTCTTTAATCTTTTCTAGGTACTTAGCTGGATTTGAAGTTCCATCAAATCCATGTTCAATTGTATTGAAATCATTCAAGAATGGAATTGCCTTGCTATCAATTTCATTAGCCTTTTTGTAGTAAACAGCAGACGCATTCTTCCCTAGCATTTGCTCTAAGAACGAGAAGTGGACATTTTCATTCACAACATCCCAATGAATAAGTTGGCCTAAGTATCGATTCATTACGGAATTTATCCTTCTTGATGCAGCTGCGGATAACTGTGCTGGTGAAAGATAACGCGCCCACGAAGGCATGTTCTGAGGATTATCCCAAAAGACATTGTGGCCGCGGACTTTAACGTTATATTTTTGGACAAGACTAAGCATAGCATCAGCTACGTTGTAGTCTAGTTGGCCGGGGATTTTCTCGTTGGCGTACCATTTCATTTCGTTTTCGAAAACTGTGTATTTAAATCTTGAGGTAAACCAATCTTGGTAGGCTTTGTTGTTTAGGATGTGTTGACTTATTGCATTTCCAAACGGGAAATTGTTCTTCTGTTGTGCCAGGGAGACCGTTGCGTTTGGTAAAGGTTGGCCTTGAGAATCCACCGCTTGGATTTTCACTTTAGCTTTGCGTACCTGCAGCATTTTAAAACATATGGTAAGCTAACTAGTTAAGTTACTCCTACAATTTATTTGGAATTTTATACACCTCTCAATATAATAGTCTTAATAAATTTTTGTAATGGGGGGCAGGGTAAGGGGAGTGGGGGGGAAGGGATACAAGGTGAGAAATCGAACCCTCACCAACAAGGTAAAAGTTCTGGCTGAGCTATTAAGATTTCTACTCAATATATAGTCTTAATTATAAGAATATTTGTTTAAACAATTCTTTATCTCACTCTTAAACATCTCAAATTCTCAATTAATCAATGCTCCACTAGTTGGAGGAGTAAGGGTGAATTTGGTAAAAAGTATAATAAATACTTCTTGTTTTTCTAACTTACTTAATATTTTGAAACAAATTTTGTTTGCCAAAACAAAAAATAATATGGAGTACGGGAGGTAATATTAAAGTAATCAAATTAATTAGCTAGTATGTCGAGTGCTTTCAAACATTATTAATTCCTTTTACCTTCTCAGTGCTTTGATGTTGATGAAATTTCCACTCCTCTAGAGAAAATGGCTTAATTGATATGCTATCTGCCCACAACTCAATAGCTGTGTTGTTGGCCTAGAAACAGACAACGGAATAAAGTGAAAATAAACAAATTAGGTCTAACAATCAGAATTTGTGTTTGAAAACATAATACTAGTACATCTTATTCTCTTTAATTAAGTATGATTATAGAATAAGACCAATGACTAATAATTATGAAAAGGTGAAAACTCACTTCAAGATATAGGTCGACAGGACCTGAAGTATTGAGCATAAAACCACCTTTTAGCATAGACCAGCAACCAGGACGAGCAATTGCCCATCCACTACGTTGCATGCCAAATGATGTTCCTAATGCAAGAGCTACGTGAATGTCCCCTTGGCTCACTCGCACCCAAGCTGCAAATAGTAAGATTGAATTTCTATATACAGTAGGAGTATACTACAATATATTATAAACGATCAGTAACAACCATCCAAACATGTTGTAAGGGGGTGTCATGATCGATCCGACACTGTTTTGAAAAAATATCTCATCTTACATGGTGTAAAATTATATTATAAAAATAATATATATGCTACATCAACGACACTGCTTGAAAACAACAGCAAAATTGTAATAAACAGTTGAGCAAAACCTTGTACGCCGTATGGGAAAATAATCAGCAGTACCTGAAGTTACGTAGTGAGTATCCTTTTGCAAGAAATATTTTTGGGTAAAACCATGAAGGGCTCCTTTCCTGTTGGTAGCCACAATGTAAGTGTTATTAGTAATGTTGGACATCCTTGTGGCCATGTTTGCAAATCCACATTTTCTCCAGCCAAGGAGTCCTTCATTGAAGTCTGGATTCACGACTATTCCTCCATTGTATTGAGCTCTGAGAGGATCTGCCAAACACTGGAAACATATATATGTACACATGGTTTAAATTCATATTTAATTTGTTAAACAAAGCTGAGCAAGTTATCTGTTGCAATATTTTAAAATATAGTGTATAAATTATTTGCTTCGTTGATGTATACATAATATATTAAATCCTGTATAGAAAATCTGGAGTTCAAATTGTAAAATATATAAAAGATAGCAGTAGTGGAAGCTTGCCTCAGCTGTGAAGCTATAATCGTAATCTTCAGCATAAACTTCAACCCCTACAAAAGCAAAGGCACAAAAAGAGAAAATAGAGGATATATAAATCTATATGACCCCTCACAGAAAAGGCATGCGTATATCAAAATTTAAAATTTGTGCTTGATTTTGCTTCACCAAAATGTCAAATATTCCTTTGCATTATTATTTTAGACTTAATCAATGCATTTTTCATTGTATTGCAAGTAATATCTTCTTTTGCTCGCCTTAGAAAATGGAAAAGAGAAACATTTGGTTGCAATTTAATTACGTTTTAACAGTATATCTCATCAATTAGTCAACAGTAACGAAAAATTAATGGCTTTAAGCCTTTAACTAATGTTTTATCAAATAGGCTAGGCTTAGTTACAAACCTGAATGATAAACAAGAAAACAAATCACAAGCCAAGGTAGAAAATTTTCCATCTTCATGGTTTCCGTGGCCACAAGTTCCTGTTTCAATCACAATAACACTAAAAATTAGACTATATACAAACATAAAAATCAAAAATAACTTAAGACAAAAAATAAAGAAGATATGCATCTCCCAGAAAGTTGGCTGCAAATTAAACCACATTTTTTCAAAAAATATTCCTGATGCCAAATATTTTACTTCCGTTTATTACATGCATGATGTGCCCTCCAATATCAAAGAAATAAAAGGAAAATGTGTGCTATGTATCCTTCCGTGTTTGATTATTACCTCCTGGCTCTAACTCTAGATGGTGGAAAATAATAGTACTATACTACTATAAAACACTTGATACTGTGTTTGCTCGAGGTGTCGGATTAAGCTACGAATGCATGCATATTTATAGGTGAAGCCTCTAGAATTTGATTATATTGTAGCTTTTTTAACATGACTTGAGCTAGTACTAGTAAGAGATTCAAGTCAATGTTTTAAGCTACATTTGACACGAATCAATGAATTTTCCGACGACGTTCAGTTCTCCTGCATGCCAAACCCAATGATTAAATTGATCTTGTTATGAATATAATTTTGTTTTTGGAAATTAAGGAAATACACGAAATAAACAAAACTTATTCAATGTTTTGGTCATGCGGTCCATCTCGGACATATAATGAAATTTAATTATATATGGAAACACGGTTAACCTTCAACTTGAATTTGGTACTTGGTAATGAATGTCATTGTCTAGGTTTGCCAGTGTAAAGCCTTAAACCCTCATATTAAAAAGTAATTTGGAATAATACGTTTCAATGCCTCGTTTAATTAGGGGTTGCTTTTCTTCAAAGTTTAATAAAAAATGTTTCTGAACCATTTCTAATGGGAGTTTTTGATACTTGATAGTGACACTTTGGAAGTTCTTGTTGAATGAGTCTGCTTTTAGTAAGCTACCAGGAAATATTGCCTTTAACTTGCATGCATATGGATTTTGAAAAATGAACATGGAAAATACGACTATTGGTTTTGCAACACTCTTTTCTCTTTTGAATAATTCTTTTCCCCTACTAGAAGCATACACCTTTTTCATTTAGTACTGGTGTTACTTAAAAAAAAAAAAAAAGGAGNAAGACATCTAATTGACTTATGACCACAATGCACCTGACGATGCATAAGTTACTTATAAAAAAACATATTTTAGGATATTTGCCTATTTAGCAGACTTACAAATTAGACTAAAAAAAAAAAAAAAGGAGTAATTTTTCAACTCAATCAATTGGATGGATTGGATTGTTTCTCAATCTTTTCCCAAATACTTTTTGATATAATTAATCAAACGTTGAGGAATTATGGGGTGACATGTTTATTAACTCATCCAATATTTACTGATGCACACATTGTTCTAGGCGTTTATTTGATACTACATACTACATACTCTAAGAGATCATTAATTTAGTTCACGAACAAAGTTATGTAGAGATTAAAATACAAAAAATTATAGTACGTGAATTAGTAATCACTGGATTATTTAATGCATATATTTTATGATTCATCACATTAAAAACATGATATATGATGTATAATATAAAAATTTACAATCTTACCATTGTTCAGTATATGAAAAAATTAAGGTTATTTTGATGTTTTAGGTTTTTTATTCCCATAAAGCTTACTCTGGATAGTTATCTCATGTTGAATCCAGTGTAAAGTAACATTAGAATTGCACCATAACATTAATGGTCTTGCTTATACCGAAAACAAAATACACACCTAACATAATATAAAACAATATCAAACTTTATACCAAAAATATTTTATAATCTAAGTAAGCAAATGAATGATAGAGGATCGGAGTTGATTTTTCCGTATAAGTGTAATCTATCAGAGCTCAAGATAAATGTGTTAAGCCATTAAGAGCTTGTTTGGCCAAGTTTTGGGAGGACAAAAAAAGTATTTTTTGAAAATTTTTGAGGTATTTGGCAAAGATGAAAAAAGTACTTTTGAGCAGCAACATAAACATTGTTTTTGCTTTTGGGGAGAAGCTATAAATTCTAGCTTTTTTAAAGAAGTAGAAGCAAAAAATTAATTTATTCAAGACAAAAATAACCTTAAAGTAAATTTATATTTTTTAAATTATTCCTCATTAATTTAATATTTTTCTGTTCCTTTTTCTTTATATTTTTATCATACATTTCTTCTATTTTTATTTTAATCACGTTTTTATCCTCCTTTTTCTATTACCAAGAGTAAATTTTTAATTTATATTTAATAGTGTATTTTGATATATTTAAATTATCTTGTAAACAACAAGTAATATTAGATAATGTAATGACTCGACTGATCGTTTTGCTTTTTAAAACCTCGTTCCCCTAGATAAGACTTCCCGTACTTGCTTTTACTGATTTATGACTTTAAGAAATGGTTGGTTCGGGATTTGGAAGAGTTTGGGTTGAAATCGGAACACTTGGCTCCTTAAGTTTGGCTTAAAAGACCAAGTTTGACTTCGGTCAACGTTTTGAGTAAACGACCTCGAAATCCGTATTTGAAGGTTCCAACAGGTTCGTACGATGATTTCGGACTTGGGCGTATGTCCGGATCGAGTTTTGGATGATCCGGGAGCGTTTTGTCGCCTAATAGTGAAAGTTAACTCCTTAAGGATTTGAAGTTCTTAAATATTTGGTTTGGAGCGGGTTTTTGTGTTATTGAGGTCCGAATGGAATTCCGAGCCTGGAATAGTTCTGTATTGTCATTTAAGACTTGCACGCAAAATTTGGTGTCAATCTGAGTAGTACAAGTGTGTTTTGTCACATTGGATGTGAATTGAAGAACTTGAAGTTCATAAGTTTGATTCTATTGGTTTTAAGGGGTGATTCTTAGATTTAGCGTTGTTTCGGGCGTTCTAAGGGTTCGAACAAGTCCGTTTTATCGTTTTAAACTTGTGGGTATGTTCGGACGGGGCCCCGGGGGCCCCGAGCGTCAGATGGACGAGGCTCGAGTTGAGTTAGGAATTTTGGAAGGAGCTGAAGCTCCTGGTTGTTGTCATAACCGCACCTGCGGTTGGCCAGCCGCAGGTGCGGAACCGCAGGAGCGGTCGATCAATCGCCGAAGCCGTCAAGGGTGTCCAGCCTAGGAGCTGCAGAAGCGGACTCCTTCCCGCAGATGCGGCCCAGGACCGTAGATACGGAAATCACTGAAGGAAGTGACCTTCATTTAGTGCGGGTGTTAGCCATTTTTGGCTCATTTCCACTCAAAAGTTGGCGATTTTAGAGCTCTTGAGAGAAGATTTTCACCAAACTCTTAGAGGTAAGTAATCCTTAAACCTTGTGAGTTAAATACTTGAATTTTGGGTAGATTAACATGTAAAGATTAGTGAAAAATTATAGAATTAGAGTAAAATCTAGGGTTTTGATAAAAACAAGATTTAACCACGAAATTCGTTATGAAATGGAGTAAAAATCATATATTCTTGACCTTTAGGTTATGGGTGACAACTTTCTTCGAAAATTTCCGGAATACGGACACGTGGGCCCGGAGTTGAATTTTGGAACCTTGCCCTTGGGGTTGGATAATCGCATTTATAGCTAGGATATGAATTTGTAAGCCTATAATAATGAACTTTTACACTATTTGAATAGGTTCAAATTGTGCGGCTCCAGTTTGAGAGTTGGGACGCATTCTTGAGTTGGAAGTAGGCTCGAAATGAGGTAAGTCTCTTTTCTTACCTTGTAGGGGGAACGTCTCCATAGGTGTGCTTAATTAATATATGATTAACTGTGGGGGCTACGTACGCATGAGGTGACGAGAGTTCGTACGTAGCTACTATTCATGTTATGTTCGAGTAGTTCTAGTATTACATCATGCTTCGTGGTCGCTATTAATTGCTTATATATGCTAACGGTATGAAATAAAGTAAGTTGGAGGAAATCTAAAGATTTGCGGGCTTCAAGTGAATTGTATTCATTTTTGTTAAAAAGGGAATTAAAGAATTGTTGTGTTTATATGATGAAAAATTATGTTTACCGCGTCGCACGTATGATTCACGAGGGGGGTTATGTTTTTACCGTGTCGCATGTATGATTCGCGAGCGGGGTAAATAGATGCATCAATGGTCCTTGCCATTTGACCCTCGGCAGTGTACACTTTACTTTTATGTTGGATCGGGTTGATCATCCTCGGTGGTATTTGTGTGTGATAATGGAACCGTAACCCTTATAATTTGCATGATTTATTGCTAGAAAGGTCATTATTTTAAAGGAGGAAAATGCTTCGTTTTGCTAATTTGAGGAAAGGATTTTCAATAATTATTCTTGTTTTGAGATTGTTGTTATCTATATACACTATGAATTAAATATGTTGAACTTCATATTGTTATATTTGTTGGCTTAGTAAGTGTTGAAGTCGACCCCTCGTCATTACTTCTGCGAGGTTAGGCGAGATACTTACTGGGTACATATTTTTATGTCCCCATACTACGCTTTTGTACTTGATTGTACAGGCTTTGAGGCAGGTGCATCTGGCCATCAGTCCGGCGCATAGAGTGGTCATCTCAGCTTGAGACTTTCTGGTGAGCTGCCCTTCCCAGCCGATCTGCAGCAGCTGGAGTCTCTCTTTTGTCTTCAAGATTTAGATTTGCATTTATTCCTTTCACTTAAATATGTTTTAGTTTTTGAAAACTATAAATTGTTTAAATCTAAAATGGAAATTATCACGTACTAACTACATGAGTGAGGATTTACTATATAATCAGTGTTGGCTTGCTTAGCAACGGTGTTGGGTGTCATCACGGCCTAAAATGGAATTTGGGTCGTGACAACATGGTATCAGAGAACTAGGTTCACGTAGGTCTCACAAGTTATGGGCAAACCTGGTAGGGTCTTGCAGATCGGTACGGAGATGTTTGTACTTATCTTCGAGAGACTATAGGGTGTTAGGAAACTACTCTTTATTCATCTCTTATCGTGCAGTTGATGATGTACTAAATTTTCTTATTATATTCTCTTACAAATGGTGAGGACATGTACAACGGACGTTCCAGACCTGGGGGGAGCTGTTCCCCCTGTTGCTAGAGGCCGAGGCAGAGGCTGGGGGAGGCAATTGGCCCAAGGTAGGGGACGAGGGCGTCCTAGAGCTGCCCCAGTTGCACCACCGGCATACCCAGTGGGGGATCCCATTATTGAGGAGCAGGGTGAGGTACCCGCAGTAGCTGCCCCGGCAGATTTCATGACAGCACCGGGCTTCCAGGAAGCCATGGGCCGTATGTTGCATTTCATGGACTTGATGACTCAGGCTGGTTTATTTCCAGCAGAACCGGCCACATCTCAGGCAGGAGAGGGAGCACAGACCCCTACTACTCAGGCTCTTGGGCACGCACAGACCCCTAATACGAGTACAAGACCATTTTTATCACATATACACTTTTCCTTTGGGCGATTTGGGGAGCTTTGGAGAAGGGATCTTTACTTAGCATTGTGAGGTAAGTTTATTCCACCCATCTTTAGTTTAATACTTGCATATTAGATAGATTAAACACTAGAAATTAGGTAAAATCAAAGGGTTAGAGCAAGACCTAGGGTTTTAACAAAACTTAGATTTAACCACGAATTTTGTTATGAAATGAATTAGAAATCATATATTATTGATCCTTAGGTTGTAGAGAACAACTCCCTTCGAAAAATCTCGGAATCCGGGCACGTGGGCCCGGGGTCGGAATTTAGGAAACTCGTGTTAATGGTTAGAAAATTTCTTAAATAGCTAGAATTCGATCTTGTGAGCATATATTAATTAGCTCTTACTTCATTCAACTAGTTTGGGATCGTTCGGCTCCGAATTGAGGGCTTGAACTTGTTCTTGATATTTGGAAGTGTGTTTTGGAGCGAGGTGAGTCCCCTTTCGAACCTTGTAAGAGGGAATTATCCCCATAGGTATAATAATTGAATTGATTGCCATTATATGCGGGGGCTACGTACGTACTAAGTGACGAGAGTCCGTGCGTAGCGACTATTATGTTAGGTTCGGGTAGTCTAGGGCCCAAAAGGATGTTCTACGTGATATTCTTGTAACTTGATGTTAAATTCAGAGTTGTATAAATTATCTGATTAAGGTAAATGCTACTAGTGAGGGAACCTTATTCTATTTGGTCCTTAAAAGAAAATTGGGAAATTTCCTGTGAATAGTTGCTCCTCAAATATATTTTATTGTCTGCTTGAGATGATTTTATTTTAGTTGACCTCGTCGCACGTGTGATTCGCGAGCAGGGTAATAGATTCATCTATGGTTCGAGCCGTTCGACCCTAGGCAGTGCACATTTTATATTTATGTTAGATCGGATCGTACGTCCCTCGGTGTTATTTGCGCATGATTTGCTTAGCCTCCTATCTGTGGACTGGACTTTATATTTGCTTACTATATATATGGACACTCATGATAATATTTGAAAAAGAACTGTTATTCCATGCTAATAACTTGTGTTATTTTTGCTTATTATAAATTCTCCTCATATTATTTGACCTTAGTAAGTATCGAGTCGACCTCTCGTCTCTACTTCTTCGAGATTAGACGGGATACTTACTGGGTACATGTTGTTTATGTACTCATACTACGCTTCTGTACTTAATTGTACAGGATCTGAGGCAGGTGTATCTGGTTATCATTCTGGTGCGCATCCTTGAGCGGACCCGAGACTTTTACGGTGAGTTGCTTTCCTTCCATGCCGACCAGCAGCCTAAAGAAGTCTTTCTTATGTATTTTCTTTTGCTATCTATCCTGATTCGGACAGTAAGATAGTGTGATTCTTTTATATATTCTACTAGTTGCCCGTATCTTGTGATACCAGGTCTTGGCACACACATTAGTAGACATTTATTTTGGGTTGTATAATCCTTTTGTATACATTATTGATCTCTTCTAGCTTTAACTTTAAATTGGAGGATCTGGTTCACTTATTTTTGGTAAAAGTAAATTCAGAACTCAATTATGTTTCCGCGTCGGCTTGCCTGACAACGGTGTCGGGCGCCATCATGGCCAATTTTGTTTCCGCGTTGGAGGATGTGTTTCACTTATTTTTGGAAATAGTTGTATTATGTACGAATCGTTGTATAAAATGTGTATTTAAGTTATCAATACCATCTTTTTACATAAACACTACAAGAAAGTGTGGAATTTGCAGCAAATTTTTTCGTTGCCATATAGGGAATATTGTTGCGAAAAGAACTTTTGGCAACAACAAAAAAATTATTGCATGTCGTTGCAATAAATTCTGATGGGAAAAGTTTTTGCACCAACAAAAATTGTCATTGCCAAAAACTGACTTAATGCAACAAGAAATATTGTTGCCATAAATTATATTTTGATTATACACTTGTGGCTTATAAAAATATTTAGCAACAAAAATTATTGTTGCGATAAATTATTATTATTTTCGCAACAACACTACTTGTGGCAAAAAATTGATAAGAGGATAGTTAATAATCTGTTATAAAGGCTTTTCACAACTAAGTATTGTTACGGGGACAAACCATTTTTTGCCAACAATATTATATTTTCTGTTGTACAGCTAGCAATAATAAATGTGTAGTTGCTACATACACAAATCACATTTTCTTTTAAATTATCATAAATATATATATAAAAATTAATATATGATATATATTTGCAAAGGTCAATACAACTGATGCACTAAGTATTTACATACTTCCAAAAACTAAATATTACTAAAACACATGTTCTTACTTAAAAATAAAAACAAGAGCATCTACAGGGTCATAATTTCTAATCTAATAACAACCCAAAAGTAAATCTTCTTCTAGTAGCTTGAGCATTAGATGAACCATATTGTCAGCTATGTTGGTTTATTCATACTCATCCTGCAAAAGAAGATAAATTATAATCATATCTTTTATAAAAAAAAATTATAAAGTACACAAGTACAAATCAAAAAAAGAAAAATTTGGGCACCAATGATATAAAAAGATTATTATAATCAAAGCTAAAGCTAAGAAATTATCAAGAACGAACTTGCACCATGTAACATAAAAGAGTAAAGCTAACTACCTACTATAGAAATTCTATACATGCCCGAGTAATCAATTTTTTAGTACCAGAACCAGGACAAATAACAATTCCAAGTAACTTTCAAGGCACTCCAATTTTTTTTCTTTATCAAACTATTAAGCAAAACTATGCTCTTTCTCGGTTGTAGTGATTACAATACACAATTGTAATTTGTAAAGGTTGGGGGACTGTTCAAAAAATAATATCGTTATACCCTATTGTATTTCTATTTAACTTAGCATCCATTGTTGTGCATATCACATAAAAGAGCATGGAAAGCATAACATGTTATGGTCATAATATCTCAATTTGGTGATTTTGAAATCAGATGACAGACTACTAAATAAATTGTAACTGAAAACCATAATACAAACATGATATTGAACAATATCAACCAACGAACTATTTTTACAAGAGTTAGACAAAGTTTCTTACCGTGATGTTATCCATAAGTCTTGAACGACTTGCCTCATTTGAACCACAAATGTAGCATTAACAATCGGGTCCAAATTAGTATCCTCTTCAATTTCTTGGATTTGTTTAGCAATATAGTCGTTCACCTTATCCTACAAAAATTTATACAGACTTTAACTTTCAATATTTATTTCGATAAACTCATATTATAGGAATAAAGATAAAAGTGTCACATGTATATTTAATTCAACGGAGGCATCATTAACTCAATGTTCATTCTTCATGTGAGTCATTTGTTTGCATACTAGCCGAGAAAGGCAAACAATATGCAAACAAACACTAACAGAAATTGTTAGGTGGAGTTTTGTTTCAAAAAGGGCTTAAAAGCTTTTGCCTTTCTCTTATGTATCATATAGGAGATTAAGATAAATTGTTCAAATGTGTTCTTCCTTTTTCTGTGATTCACTGTGTAATATCTGAATGTCTAAATGAATCAGTTCGAAAAATTTTATTTTGTGTCACATACAACTGACACTAGTTGTATGAGGCAATTTTTTTGTCTCACAGTTTTGTGGACCCAGATTTCTGTGGACCCAGAAGTGTAAGATTGGGGACCACAAATTTGTGAGATAAAAAGGAGTCTCATACAACTAGTGTAAGTTGTATGATACACAAAATAAAACTTCTCAATTAGTTCAAACTGACTAGACTTTTCATCAGCACTGCCTTTCTACTTCATCAATTTGAAACACTCAATTTCCTAAACATGCTCTACCTAATTCTTATAAGTCTGAGTACCACTAGCATCATGGTTCAGATAAACTTTGCACCAATACTACTCACTATTTATTTACATCTTCGCATTTAACTTATGTATGTATTTACTTCTATAGATTAAAAGATGTGGAGAAATAGCACGTAAACTTCGCTTTTTCGAGGAACAAATGACAAAGGCAGGGTTTACCCCTTCAACAAGGACAACAACTGGCTCAACTATTAATCTGGATGAATTGGAGGTCTACTTATTTCATCTTCTTAGATTTAAGCAGGTGTTTTTTAAAATTTTCCTAAAAATGAATCACTTCTTTCTAATAGAATTGTCCTTTTCCAACTTTGGTGACATGAATCCCCAACCTCATAGTTAGACATGGATGAGTTTTACAATTATATTGTCCCTCCCCTTCCAGGATGCAAATCTAAACAGTCACTCTTAGGCAAGTAAACAAGAAAAGGAAGAAAGCACAGAAATAAGAACAGTAGTCTGACAAATCTTTGGCTTGAAACAAACTATTGCTTTCAATAAATAATTATTTTTTAATAACAGGTTGCTTTGAACAATATCAACACAACTTGAGCAAATGAAAATTGCAAGTACAGTAAGTGTTCCAGATTGAAAAGTATGGCACTTGCGCCTAACTCAACCCCAAAAGCACTATTACTGAACAATAATGTTTACCTGGATAGCGCAATGAGACTCCTGTCTCTGTATCATCTTATAGTTAATTCAACATAATCGTAATTTAGTGATAATAATTCTTTTCCTCTAGGATGATATCTGCTTCTGTCGGATCTATTTTTTAGCAATATATACATATAATGTACACACACAGAAGTACTTAGAGACACACACACAGAGGAAAGTCATCTAGTGTTCTTTACATTTTTATATACCTTTTATTTCTACCATCAACATTTAGCTTTAAAGTCAATAACCTTAGATGGACATAAAGGGAAAAGTGAAAACTTGTAAGTAACAGTTTGCAGTAGCCTTCCCGAGAATTGGAGCATGTAATTGTAATCTTCATGTAATGATCATTTCAACATTAATCAAGTAATTATTTAACCAGCCTACTAAGACAAACAAACTAATGTGTATTTAATTACTTAACAGGTTCACTAAGATGGATTCAGATGCCACGTCATTTCCTTAGATGATTGTCCTTGCTTTATTTTTATATCAGGAAGAGTTCTTTGTGTGACTTTAAGTTAAAAAGCATGAAAATTCAAAACTCTATTCCATGCAAACCCCAACTCAAAAATTCAGAACTCTATTCCATGCCTACAAGATTTTACCGTTCACAAACATGACTACTATCATATGCTTTTTCGATATTTTGCTTACGTCCAGAGCTGTAGTTTTCTTGTCTTCAGCTTCTTGTCTTTCTTCTTTTAATTTCTAATTTGAACATCATTTTTTCTTGCTCTTTTTGTTCTTCTTCAGAATTGTAATATGGCAAGGTCATAGCTTGAACTAAATCATAGAAATGCAAATGCTAGAAGAGCATGAATTATGTAATTACTTGTAACTATATCCAAATAATTTTTCAAACTCACCTTTAATAAATTTAGCATCACACTCGTGTTACCTTCGACACCATAGCAGGTGGGGAAAGTAATGACACAAAATTTCTTATTCCATAAGGATTAATGATACAAGACTATCTAATAAAATAAGAAATAAACAAAAGAGTCAAAGAGTTGTGTAAGCTAAATGACTACATATGTACCAATAACATTAAGCTGAAAATACTAACATGAAGTTGGATTATGCCAGCATTGGAAGGAAACTAAGGACACATGTATTTTTCTTTCACTGAAATACCATTAAGAAAATGGTGATTTCTAAATAGAACAGAACTAACAAACAAGCAGATTGGGCACTACGAAGGTGAGACAGAAGCAACAATATCATGATATTTTAGAAATAAAAGATAAATCAACGTGCACTTTGATCAATTTATGGTTTTAGCAGCCTTAGTAGACTTTTGTTTACTGGGAGTCATGGAAGTATTAATGTCTAAGACAGAGTATGTGCTCTTATTTAAAAATTAAAAATTCCAAGACGAATCGATTCATCTGTGATTGGATAAAAAAATTTCTTTCACACTCTCTCAGATGTTAACAGAGTGTAAGGGAATGAGGTACTAATTGTCTAAGATGTTTCTTTTCTCAAAAAATAAAATAATATAAATACTTAGTAAAATAATGATTCTTCCCAAAGTTGAAAATCATCTACAATTGTAAATTAATTGTATTACAACCAGAATTTAGTAATAATTTAATGCATCTGTCAATTAATCCAAAATTTACTTTACTTTGGATTAAATGAATAGCCATATACATGAATACACTATTAAAAGAACCAAAATTGGACAGGGGACATAAAGCTAACTTTTCATGACCAAATAGATCTAATACCACAAATAACAAGCAATAGATAAACTTCTCATGAAATTGGTATTTAAAACTAGAAGTGTGAAACTGTTGACCTTCAATCCAATCTCTTATCACAGAATCCTTCGAGGAAATAATATCACATTCATGTTGTGCCAACAATAGAAAAATGTCCATTAAAAAAGGAACAAGAATCTAGAAAAGCTTTAAAATAAAAAATCTATGCAAGGAACAAGAATTTGGACAAATTTAAAACTAAAATCTTATGCAGGGAACAAGAATCTGGACAACAATAAAATAAAGAACTTATGCAAAGTTGCTTTCTGAAGCATATGGAATTATAGGAGAAAAAAGCGCAAATCCTACTCTGGCATAGAAGAATTTAAGATGCCCATACCCAATTAAGTACTTCACTGATAAAAGACAATCACAAAAATTGGTATTTCCATAATTTAGTGTAGCAGCAATCGGGTAAAGTAATTAAAGATAGAGTTCTTACCGTTCTTCTCCGATCAGCAGCAACGGTCTTCTGACCGTTCTTCTTTGATCAGCAGCAGTAGGACAAAACAGGGGAGAAACTCTTTAAATTAGAACTGATAAGAAAAACCCTAGCAAGAATAGTTATTAGAGAGTGGGCTAAAAATCCGTGAAAAGTAATTAAAAGACTTTTGGTTTGCCGCATTTGATTTTGGCGAAAAATTGAAAAGATTAAGGCCACAATCCACGCATCTCGTTGGCAATTTAATGTGTATTGCCAACAAAAATACTTTATTGTTGCCAATTCTGTTTATAATCTAATTTTATTATGTTAAAATTTTTATTTTTTGCAACAACTAAAATTAGTTATTGCCATTTATTACAATTCGACAATAATAATATAGTTGTTGCTAGAACGTTGTTGCCAATTTTAAAATTTAAAGTTTATTATCTAAATCATAACATATGGTAACAAAATTAACATGTTTGTCAACAAGAAAATTTTGAGGCCAAAAAATCTATGCTATAGCAACAATTTTATTGAGTTGTTGCCATTTATCAATTTTAGCCAACAATATTTTAGTTGTTGCTAAAACATTGTTGCAAAGTCTATACTTTCTTGTAGTGAAAGTTGTTGATATATATAAAAATTGTATTAAGAGAGTAAGTTTTGATTGGAATTTTAGAGAGTAAAAAGCACACACCACACACAAAATATATACAATTCACATACAAAATATACAAAAGACATTATATAAAATTAGTATAATAATTGTATTTAATTTGTATGATATTGCAGTTGTATTTAATTGGGTAGAAAAAATGTATGAATGTTGTAGATAAATTATACATTAGTTATAAATAAGTATATACTGTATAGTTAGTTGCAATTCAATATTACAAAATCAAATGCAATGTGACTAATTCAATATTACATTCCAAGTCACAATTGACTATAATTTCATTAAGGGTAAAATTTTATTATGTAATTTGACCAAATAACTTGTGACTATAATTGTAAAAAATATCGATAAGTTCAAAATGTCTCTGTGCCAATTCTCAGTACTTGTACTGAGTATTGCCATTTGTCTAAGTAATAAGGAGCCTTATTTTCAAGTTGGTTACGTGATAGACCTGCATGCTTTCAGTACTTATGATGTAGTTTTGATTTCCTCCGTGTTACGAAAAGTAATGCATGTTTAAGGAAATCGATTGTGTTAAGCTGATAGCATAATCAGATATATATTATTCGTTGAAAGACATTTGCTAAAGAAGAATTTCGTGATGCTTAATTGTGTGAATATTAGAGTTAAATGCCAAGAGGTGTTGTTATGTCAAATATCACCAATTTCTCAAATTATACATGGGGAGGTAACTAGATTTTATCATCATACAACTATTTTTCAACTTTCATACAACATTCAAATAATATATATATATATATATATATATATAACTACAACATAATATAATTTACCTACAATTTTACTACAACTTTACTACAAATTCGTAAGTATATTGTAAGTCATGTCTTCATCATCATCATCTTCTTCTTCTTCGAGTTTCAATCTGAAATTCAGCTAGAACCAAGTCTAATATTCACCAATCACCCTCAAAATTGAGATATAAACTCCAAATAATATTCCCAATTTTTTGCAACAACACTCAATCCAAACAAATAATAATTTTTGAAAATCCAAATTCGTATCAAAGCTTTATGATAGATTAGTGTTTGAATCTTCAATTCCTGTGACCTGGAGGTTACTTCAATAGGTTGATTGGCAGAAGATAATTTTTAAACTTACCTTATTGAGAGAGAAAAACGATGAGAGAGAAAGATGAAGAAAGAAAGAAAAATTGATGAGAGATGCGACAGTGAGGAAAGAGGAGATGAGTGAAAAAAGAAAAAGGATATAACCAAATCTCCTAATTCAAAGTACTAATAATGGATTGTATGTAATTTGCAAGTAACCTTTATTTAGAGTGGGTTGTTTGACCAAAAGATGTCAAAACCTTTTTGATTAAAACAACTAATGATAATGAGGAGGTTAATCTTAGTCAAGCATAATAAACCTCAGATCTAAAGATGAATCAAAAAATAATGAGTAGACTAAAATAAGAGCGAACAATCTTCATTGATATTATCGTTTCTTCTTTCATGAGACAGAGAAGATGATCAATTTTGCATCCTATTTTGGAAGGAAAATAGAAGGAGAGAATAGAGAGAGAAAAACCAAAAAGCCCCCC